ACGTACAATATCTGAAATTGCAGTGAGAGGATTTCACACGGCCCAGGCAAACTTCATCCGCTTACTAAAAGCTGACGTCTGCTTTGTCAGCAGCCCTTCCCTTGTGCTGCAAGGGGTGTAATACTTATCAGGCTGCACACAGAAACTGCAAGAGGTGTTTCTTCTCCACAGGTGAGAGAATCTACTTGCCCAGGCTGCCCTATCTTCAGCTGCCAATGCATCTGCCACGGTCATCAAAATACAGCTCAGACTCTCAACTGTCAATACAAGAAGGCTTCTTTGTATGTAGAACAAGGTTCATGATAAACTTTATCAGTGATTCTTTAACAACAAATGGCCTACAAAGCATTTGCTGAACCAGCGAGAAGGTGGCCCTAATGCACATACTCAAAGCTTGCATCCTCCTTCCTCCAGCTGCTTTGCTGCCCAAAGCCATTACAGGTCCACAGATGAAACTGGAGGCAAAGAAAAGAGATCGTCTCTGCTTTGACTAGCAGACATTTAATAAAGCTCCATGAGGTCTCTGCACAAGGAAAGGAAATAGGAGATGCTCTCAGGGACCCAACTTGTCAGTGGAGTAGCTCCATCCTTCACTAGCCATGATGAGGAAGCCGTGTGACTGTGGACAGTGTTTCACAGCCCTTGGGGCTGTGAGGAGATGGCAGACCTGTACCGCAGTCAGTGCTGGGTTGGCCAAGTGGCACAGTACTGGTCTGTGCTGCAGAAAGCCATGACTCGTCAGGATGGTCCACCTGGCAGCCTGCCAGCCAGATCCAATTACAGGGTTTAGCTAATGTCTTTTATTTGTCTTTTAAGTTTTCACACGATGCCTACCGATGGATCAGTTCACAGCTGGCTGCTCATTTCAGAGACAGGGATGGGCGGTATCGGTTATGGCAGGACACAAAGCCCAAGCATTGAGACCATCTTACTGTGCCCAGCCAGCTCCACACTGGGGTCCTGGAGCTGGTGCAGAGCCCCTGCCCTGAAGGCAGGGGATCCCCTAACAGAGCCTGGCTCCTCAGGAAAAGCAGCTGCAAGGGCTGGGGCAGCACGTGGGGAAGCACAGCTTGCAAACAGGCTGCTCCATGGACTGCAGCGCCTCGAGTCTTTCTGTTATGAAGACACACAGCCTAAAAGATCTTTTTGTGATTGCTTGGATGGGGAAGGGCAGGAGAAAAAGAGGAGGCAGTTTCAAAGTGAAAAATCTGGTCACTGAGCTTGAATTTGAAGTGGAATTGGAGACTCATTTTCAAATACTGGACCTGCTATTTAATTTTAAAAGCCCCTCTGCTCTGATGGCACCGAATGAAACATGAAGTAACATCTCACTGTCCCTTGTTTATCCCTACTACAAATGACAGCAGATTTGGCAGTAGGTGAGCACCCTGATTTATTGCCTGACTTCATAGTTATTAAGCCAAGTATCATAAAGGGATAAAGCCCCACCACTGCCATAGCTTTGTAAGATTTGGAAAAGGGACCAGAGCAGGAAACAATATTCCCAGAAGTCCCACATCTGACCAAGGAAAGGTCCTCCCATGAAAATACTGCAAACAATAGCCACAAGGGCTCTTTTAGAAACACTGAAATAGGGAACACAGTCCAGACCAGAAGGCACTGCAGTTCTGGGTGAGGAAGAGCTCAGAGGGCACAGGAGAGCTGAAGGTCAGTACAATGCACCAAATGTCTTTAAAAGTATCACGAGTCCCTGTGCAGTAGGAGACAAATGCTCTCTCAGATATTTCCATGGCTTTTAGCTACCCCAGTAGCTTAGTCAAACTTGAAGACTCAGAACAAACAGTACACAAGGGAATTTCCCAGCATGTGGCTAATTTTTTTTTTTCCTTGTGGTTCACATGATGTGCACCAGGGTATTTCTCTCCAACCAGAAACATTTTTCAAAACAACAACAGAGAAATATCTCAAGTGTGTTCCCATTGTGTTTTAGTGTCTAGACCACAAGGAAAGTCAGAAGACAGGAAATTCCTCTGCCTTTCAGCAGTCTGACATGAAAAAAGCAGGACCAGTTAGTTATATAAACATGGCTGTGTGTAGACTTCAAGTTATGGTGCTCTTATTGGGAGTGGGGGGGATTAGATCCTTCTGCTTGTAAATCTCTACCAGTCAGATAAAAAAGCTCTCAAAAATCTGGTCTTTTTTTTTTTTTTTTGGTCTAATTATTATGGTCATGAAATAGGAAAGAAAACTCTGCTCCAGCTATCAAATGAACTGATCAGCCAGTGACTTCTATGAGAACTCCCAGCTCTGGTTCTCCCACAGATGTCATTTTGAATGCAAAGTTCCTTTTCCTATATTGAGTTTTTGTTTTTATTGTCGCCGTGGGTTTTAATTATTAAGCAGGCAGATTCCAACCAGTTCTTCTACTCTGTCATCCCTTCCTACCTTTCCGATTGCCACCATCAGCCAGCTGGGCTAGCAAAACCCTCAGGGGCCACAAGCAGAGTGCGTCCTGTATGCATGCTGTCGCTCTTACAGTGTTTTTATGACTCTCAGCATATGTATTACCTGAGTAGCCGAAACTATGTTTTTGCCTCCCAACAGTATGAAGAGCTGATTAACTACTCTGCTTTGACCTGCAAAACTTTCTTGTGCCAGCTGTAGCAGCTCAGTATCTCAGTATCAAAAGCTTTGTTGTCAATAAGTTTTATATTTGAGATATACATTGGAGGGAGAATTGATTTCAGGTTTCCAGGCTCCAAAGAGTGTATATTAAAAGCAATTTTAGGTGACAATCCCCTTGACATCCTAATGCACTGAACTTCTTCGCACAATGTGGTGATACTTTTCAAAGCTCACCACCTTCAGCACATCACTTCCTGAAAAAGCCGAGGGAACATATGGCTGGGAGCGCTGTAGGGAGCTGAACAATTCTCAGTAGCAGTCCTGGGACAAAGCTCGGAGGCAGCTCCGTAACCAAGCTGCCAAAATGCACCGTTTGCAGAAACACATCCCCATGTCAGTGTTCCCAGTTTGCCTGGAGAGGTGGAGCAACTTAAAAAGACACTAAGAGAAGCCAAGACCAGCATGAAGGTAGTTTAAATTGAGGACTGCAGCACAGAAGCCAGAACAGGAAGGTAAGGGGGACCCTGAGCGTAAAAGCAGCATGGTTTCACCAAGCATGCTCCCCCCCGTCCTGCCTCTCGGTGGGCAGGGATGCTCCTTTCCTGCCTTGTACTCCAGAACAAGATGGGCCACAGACATAAAAGCATAAATCAGCCAAAGATCAGCCCATTTCTTAAGGGTTAATGTAGCGTGTCTCCACAGAGGAAGCAATAGTTTTGAAGGAAACAAAGAAAACGGATGTGTCAGGGTACTCGGACCGTGACTGACGTAAACGTAAATAAACCTAAAACAATTACACACAAGATTGAATCACAGACACTTGTCATCTGTGTAGGATATGCTTCAAACCAACAGATTTTACACAAGTTGATTATACAATGTTTTTGTTTCTAAGGTCTGCTATAGAATAAACTCTATCAAATGGTGGTTTTCAAACAGCTCACATTTTAACGTACAGCATCAGACATCAAAAGGACACACAGCAGGTTGTATTTTTTTAAACCTTCCTTGATTAATCTTTTCTTTTTAAAGATTTCACAGCATAGCTGTGGCTGAGAATGCAGCAACAAGCCAATAAAATACGGTTGCTTTAGACAGAAACAAAGTCCCATGTTGATGATGCCAGCATGGGCACAGCTCTTCAGACCTGTGGCCTCATAACACTGCTAACGCATTAAATTGTCTAGGTGTGTGTCCTTTTGCACAAGTGTTGGGAGAGCTAGAGAGTTCCTACAGTGGAGTCAGAGGGGCTCTGGAGCCTCAGCAAAATCTTGGGTGGCTCTGAATAATGACACAGGGGCCACTGTGGGAAACCTCGTTTAACATCCTCTCCCTGTCACACATGCGCTGTGTAGCAAAGGTTAATTTTACAAACAGACTAAAACAAAAGGAAAGGTAAATGGCTGAATGGCACCTGTGAAGAAAGATTAACAGTGCACCACATAAAGTTGCTCAACAGCAGGATAACCTTATGCAATAACTCTCTGGAGCCAAAGAGTCTGGAACCTCAAGTTTCATAAAACACGGTTTTCACCGGCGCACACAAAACAAACACAACAATCACCACCACCCTTCACCTCCTGCCGCTTTGCCATCTGCAGTTGGATCCAGTGAGAGACAAGGCCAAACACTGCACCGATATGCCTTCTCACGCTGGTGATTTCCACATCACGTACGCATTGTACTCCCCTCTCTCTCAAACACACACACACCGCACGTCACTCTTATTTCTCTACTTCGCAAGACCATTTCCCATTCTACGGATTTTAACACACAAGATGTCTCTAAACCCCAGTAGCAAACCGTGTTTGGGTTAGAAAGAGGCCTGGTTGAAAGTAATCATAACAGAGGAAAACAATCCCATTTTTACAAACTTCACAAAACATTAACTTACAGCTCCCAAGCACTGAACAAACAAATAAAGCTGGACATTTCCCCCAAACCCACGCAGCATTTTTAAAGGCCACCGCACAGGAGGACGGACAGGGAGCAAGCAGGCACAGGGCGTTGTGTGGAAAGTGATTCACTTGCAGAAACAAACTGTAGACTCAGAGAGGCGAAATGATGGAAAACCCACTGACTTCAGTCAAGTCAGGACTTCCCCCTCAACACACAGGCTGCCAAGAAAAGTATTCTGCCGTGCCATGCCAGAAGGGGGAAAAAATCATGTTGAAAAGTTAACTTTACCAGAAATTGTCACCAAGACATTCAGCCCTTCAAGTACATCCATTTGCTGGAATCGTCTTCGATTGATGAGTGGATAAACTTTCCCCTGACCACTTCTGTCTAGCAGCATCAGACCACTTTCAGTGCCCACTAACAAGTTCACTCCTAGAAGAAACGAAAACAGAGATCCAAGTTAGGAGGCAGATTTTCCACATATTCTGATGAACTGATGCTTGATAGAGCAACTATCTTGCTTCAGGCAGGTCTAAACACTGCAGGTTGGGTGTCAGACGCCTGCAGCCTAAAAGATCTTATGATGTAAAGGCTGCCTAAATTACCTGCCTGCAGTGACTACTTGCGCCAAATTGCAGTGTTCAAGAGAGCAAGAGACGGATAGACCATGGAGAACTTTCTAGAGCACCAGTTCCCAAACAAAAAGGCACACTAATGTTGGAGGAGGGGTGAGGCACAAAGCAGTACCCAAGCTTATGTATTCCAAAGCTGTATTAGCTGTTGGTAGGGGAGTTGGTAGCAGGATCATAGAACCATAGAATGGTTTGGGTTGGAAGGGACCTCAAAGACTATTTGGTTCCAACCCCCTGCCATGGGCAGGGACACCCTCCACTAGACCAGGTTGCCCAAAGCCCCATCCAACCTGGCCTTGAACACTTCCAGGATGCTCTTTACAAGGACATTGCAAAAAAGCAGTGCTAGGGGCTTGGTCCCCACTGAGAAAAACAGATTGTGGTGCAGCCCTCCTGTAAAAGGATAGGCACAGGGTTGGTCCTCAGCTTCCCAACAATCTTTTCCATCTGAATGTTAAAACTAGAGGAGTAACAGTAATCTCATGTTTCCACAGATTTCTCCTAAAGATCAAGCAAATACAGATGGAAAAAATCAGTAGGCCAGCTTCTTTCTACAAAGGTCCACACATCCACTGGAACACTTTCCAAGAGTCCACAAAACCTTAGTAAAGGTTTACATTTTTTTAGTAATAAATATAGATATATGAAACTAGGTTTTAAATATCTATTAATATATTATCACACTTCAATTGCATGAATATTTAGTTGCAATAGTGTTTCAGTCTAAGACCCCACAAATTGTACAGAGACAGGTCAGGTACAGCACAGGGAACTGAAATCAAACCAAATGCATGACTCGCTTTATTAGACTTCTGTGTTGCAATCCCAGTGTAAAACTTGTCATCCTTAAGCATAACACAGTAATAAAATATGAAAAGCAAAACTCATGCAAGGCAATCATAGTTTTATTGCTTAACGGCCTTAACCCCTCGTCAAACAATTAATCCCCAGATATAACTATACTGGTGCAATGGATGTATCATTTGGGCTGGTCTCATAACGAACCTTTTCTAATGCAGCACGTGGGCCCAATACACAGGAGTCTGTATCTTAGTGCGGCCTGCATCTGCAGCAGTGACATGCCTTCTCACAGCGTTGAAAAAGGGCATTGCTCACAAGGATGAGGAATGCTGCCCTAAACAACACCCTGGCTACCAGACGCGGGAGCGGTTTGCAAGAGGAGAGCATGTTCATCCTGACCCGGAGGGCACGAGATGTCTCCCAAAGGGGACAAGGGGTTGGATGGGAGCAGAGCTGCAGCCAGGAGGAGGTAATGATGGGCAAGGGGCCTGAGCTGCTGGTGCTGGGGCACTCTGAAAAGCCTCTGGCTGGATGAGAAAAACAGAAGTAGCCCACAGAAACCACACATCTCCATTTTCTTCTCTCTTGTCTTTTCAGTAAGGAAACTTCAGAGGTCCCAGCAGCCCCCACAAACCATCTCCTCTCTTTGCTGAAATTTGCTGCTCTGCTATTCCTCTGCCTCCTCCAGGCAGGAGAGCCCACGGATGCTGGCAGGTGCAGAGCCTATCTTGGGAGAGGGCCTGCAGCCCTCCTGGGCTTCTCCTTCAGCTGCTGATGCCTCCTCCGTCCCCTTCCTGCTCTTCTCCTGCCTCTGCATCCCCGACATGGGTCTGTACCTGCTGGCTGCCGTCCCACAGCCCCCAGGGACATTTCACATCAACCACCTCCCATACTGGGAGACATCCTCAAACTGGGAAGGGGTGAAAGGAAGCAGGGAGAGCGAGGCACGCACTGAGTCAGGGCTTGGCACAGGCTGCAGCAGCAACAAACTGGCCGAGGAAGCGCCCAGCACTCGGTCTCCTTCCTGCAGTTCCAGGACCCATCGACTAAAGCTGTCAGTGATTCAGCTTCAACACATATTTTTGTATTTTTTTCAGCGTTGATTACAGTACAAAGCCAGATGCAAACTGCTCCCTCATGGTCCCTTCCCCTCTTTATGCACCAGGGCTCAATCTCTCTCGCCTCCACCCTCACCTCTCCCTCTGATGCCTTTGTTGTGCAGATGTTTCTGCTTTGAGTTTACATGCGCGCCCATCTCCGACCCCTTCCCTTAGCTATATGCATTTTGAGATGAACCTAATGAGGCACCATGCTGGTGGGAAGCAGTGCCTGTATTTTAAAATGCAAGCACTGTCTTTATTCACAGCCAGCCGAGCTCTTCTACGGCCACCCTACAATTAAGCAGTTCCGGTTTTTCAAACAAATGGAAATGCTTCCTGAAAAAGTCCAGGCTCTCTGTGGAGGCTGGGTGTAAAAGTCTATGCTACTGCATCCATGTCATTAATGTCGACTTTCACCAGTTGGTAGAAATAGTATGACACAGCTAATGCAATCAGCAACCTACCAGATACTGTGGCATTACCATTGGTAAAGGCAAAGCAAAACAAAGCAAAGCAAGCCCCTCTCTTTTTGCATAAGAAACATCACCATGCAATGGTTTAATTCGCTCAAGGGAAAAAGAAGCTAAACCTTATCAAGAAATAAGCATGTGTACCAGCTTACATCACCACCAGCTTGGCCCTAACTGTTCAACAAGGAAGTGCTTTGTTACAGCTGTAAAACACCTCTAGGATTTTACACCTGTATTTTAAATCACCATAATAGTCAGATACATAGATCAAAGAAATATAAAACCATTAACACAAATTGCTACTGGCAAAACAAGGCAGATCAGAGAAATTATGAGTCATCTTTACTGATCCCATACGATTACTCTCTGCCTTCGCCCTCTCACAGTCTGAAAGTTTACATTTGCACAAGTCTGTTCATTTTATCAGAGAATTATTCATATGAATACATGCAGAAATAACATTGGAGTAAAAATTCTCACCAATAAATTCTGGAAATAAAGAAAACAGCAAATAGCAAGATAAGGTGTCAGGACAGCTATTTAATTGACATGGCTTTGCAGGCAAGAAGGATAGGACAACAGTGCTGTTCTGAGAAACACGAAATGCTGGAAATAACCCCAAAAGATAACTAAAGCTTTGGCAAGAGCTGTGAAAATGTAAACAAGAAAAGTGCATTTGTTACTTATGCAATCATTGTGCGACTCAGGGGAACGGCCAACTCTGTTCACAGTTTTTAAAATGATATGCATGTGCATTTACAGTCTGTTAAGTTTAGGCATACTAGATAAATATGTACGTAATATACACACGCATCACCCAAATAATGAAAAAATTCAGGTGGCCCCACAGATTCTGGCCAAGAAAGGAAGGACACAGCAGAGAAAAGCTTTTGCAGCAGTGATTCCACAGTGTAGCAGGCAACAAGCTCTGCTCTAAGCCTCTCCCCAGTGTAGGATCCTGACTGTCTGACACTGACATAAATGATCCCTTGTGACAAGAAGAGCAGACACACGTGGTCAGCTGACACCTCACACCCAGCTTCTCTCTGCACTCACAACTCTTAACGAAACCAAGCCACAGTCTCACACTGGAAAATGTCCCTTTTACCCTTCTCTCTTCCTTCTTCCTTCCTACATAAACCGATGACTGAGGTGGAAAGTCATCTTACGAAACGCATCTTAATCAAGCTCCACAACAATACACTAGCAAGAGGCTCAAGATTCTGATTATTTTTCAAAAGAAATACCCCATGTGCACCACGTGTACAATGCAAAGACAACTACAAGCTCCCAAAAGCTGCAACAGATATACTAGCAGGGGTTGGAGGGAGCTGAAAAGGACATCCTGATCAGCTGAATGAAGGCTGAACTGTGCCATCAGAAGCGTATATACAGCAGTGGGAAATTATATCAAAGCAGAAGCGGCAGACTGTAAACCACATAATAATCAGCTCTTGCAACAAAAAATATGTAAACAAGCATTGAATAAATGCACAGAAACAGCTAAGGTTTCAGAGATACATTCTCGAAGGCTGTAAGCTCATACTGACACATCTGCACTTCAAAAGTGCAGGAGGCAAGGGAGCGACAGGTTTGCATTACCCCATAAGGCAGCACACAGTATCTCAGAATTGAATCTCTTCTTGTATTTGCGTATCTCTGGGGTATCGCTCTGTGGCCGCGTATTCGTGGGATTCACGTTGACAACTGATCCTTTCCGCGTAGGGTCTTGCCTTATTGCCTCCGATCTCATTGCTTCACTAGAAAATCCTACTAAAAAAAAAAGAAAAGTAAAGTGCATGTAATATCCCTCAAGTGCCAAATTCTGGCCACATATTCTTTACACCGTACAACCCAAATCAGTAACTGAAAATACCGAGCAAGTCTTTCTTTTTGTAAGAAATGTAAATGGAAAAAGAAATAAACTATGCAATCCATTGCAAATCAAATAAAAAGCATGATGGTAACATTCGTAAGTACTTTAAAGAGCCACTGAAGTCACTGAACCCTTTTTCAATTGTCGTCTTCAGCTACTTTACTTACCCACAGAAGTCACAGTTGTCCCACTAGATGGAGAAATCTGTAGTAATCTGGGGTCTATAAAAGGTGTAAAGGAGGAGGAAGATTTGTGTTTCTGGAGTGTGTTACTAGCGGACTGAGTCTGCAATGTAAATTTCAACTTTATTAATATTAGTGACAATAAAAAAGCACGGATAACAACAACCAACATTTTTAAGTCACTACAGAATTACGCTACAGAGCATCCCCAAGCTTTTATACTTCCTTTATAGATACACAACGCACTGCAGGCACCACACCTGAGCTAGATACATATGCACACTGCACATGTTACAGCGAAATGTAATTAGCTAAATCATCGTCCTGTCACCTCAGCTGCTAGCGAAGAATTTTAGGACTGGCCACTACAATCAGGCACAAAGCGAGGGAATGTCTTCTTTTTTAAAAAATTTGCTTAAAAGTATGTATACTACCTTATCTGCGAGCTGTCCACTACCTACAACTTTTGAATTTATGAAGCATTTCCTAAAGTGAGCTAGTTTAATAAATAATGAAGTTTGATCTCTTGGCTTGTGCAACAAAATCAGTACCATCTGGGATCAAGCGTTCACTTCTATGATGGATTATGTTTCAATGTCCACTACTGTTCGTTCTCCCTATTTTAACCTGAGCCTCTTGCCAGAAAGCTGCAGCAGGTTCTTCCACCTTTATTTGACAAAGCAACATATTAAACCTGTATCGAACAAAGGGGCTCATTAGTGTGGAAGGTGTAGCAAACGGTGATATGAAGCTATGAATATGTAGTGGATAAAAATCACTGGTGCTTGCTGAGTTATGTGGTCTAAACATGAAAAAAACATAAAGAAAGGAAGAAGACAAGTGAAACAATGAACTGTTAAAAGTGGAAATGGAACGACTTAAAAACCCTTGCCAGTTTAGTATTACAGTGACAACATTGCATACTGAAGCAGAATGGGACAAGTGAAAAAAAAAAAAAAGATCATATATATAAAGGGCGTGCATGTGGGTAAGTGGTACCAAGCAGTACTGGGTTTTTGCTCAGCTTTATGCAAATGTAGAGACACTTCTTTATCTAATCTTTACCCTCTGATCTTTCTAAGCCTCTACTCACTGCACAAAAAATAGCAATGGGTCTTAGGAGTGCATCACTCCCCTGCACAGCTCAATACCAAAAGGCTCCTTCACCACCAGCCACCGCCACAGCCTCCACTTCCCAAGCCGAGTTAACTGAACCCTGCTTATTTATTGCTTAGATCAAAGTAATGAGCAAGCGTATCTCTGGATCAATCAACTGATCTCTATAACCTACAAGACTGTGCTTTTAGAAAGATCAAAGACCAATGAAGCATAGCTGAAAATTAACTATTACGTTAACTGAATTTCCAGGAGGAAACCCTCCCACCCACCCTCCTGCTATGTGGTTCAGAAGCATTTTTGATCCTGTGGTAAACACGTCTATTGCCATCAGCCTATCCGGCTCACTGCAACCTCTCCTTCTCATCACGCCACTTGCATGCCTACATGGCAGGATGGCTCTACCCTGAGAAGCAGCAGCAGCTCCTCATCGAATTTTGCTCCCCCTGTACCACTCCTGGTTGCATACAGAGAGGGGCTCTCCCCACCAGACAGGTTGGCTGCCCAGCCAGGAGTGGAGCCACCACACTGGGATCCTCACTTACTGCTAGGGTTGGTAAGGGGCGAATGATGCCCTTCGTTCACACGTGTGCATCTCCTCTGAGGCAAGGGGTTACACACGTGTGAAGGACCAAGCTTGTCCACCAGTGCTTGGTGAATAAGGGAAGCCACTGTCCCAGGATCAACCCAGGACAGCAAGAGGGAGCTTCCCCCGCAGCGAAGCCTTGCTTCTCCACCTGGACAGAACCAGCACTGGTGAAGAATAGTCATCGTTACACAGCTGCTTTTCAGAGTACACACATACTTGGAAAAAACCCAAAGATTTCTCCCATTCATTATTCCCAAGCAATACCCCAGGCTTTCATGACCCTCCCGGGCAACACCTGATTTGTTCACCCAGCCCATGTGGCAAGCTTTAAAGAGCAAAATCCCTCCACAGCTGCTTCCTCTCCCAAAGGATGGGTTTCCACAAGCAGCTCCTTGTACGTGCGGAGTTACTAGCCCAACCTTTACTGACAAAGCCAAAATTAACCGCTAATTTTTAAGAGGCACACTGCTTGCAATTAGCCTGCTCCCGGAATAAAACAGAATTAAGAGTATTGGCTTGAAAATGCAGTAGTCAAGTTTAGTTTAAAACGAACGCCATGCAATTAATGACTCACTAAGAGGAAGCAAAAATAGTAAACTGGCAAGTTTGGCGTGGGACTGCTCTAGAGTTAAGGGCTTCTTACACAGAACTGAAATGTGTTATTTGGGGGGTGGGAACAAAGGTGACAGAAAAAAAAAGCAGGGGAGATTGGCTGGAGTTCCTTTGCAAACTAGCTACTAGGCAATGCTGCTATAACCCTACGAAAGCAGCCAGCTGTGGTGTAAGACATACCTCATTAGTAGTTAGCTTGTCCTGGGGTGTCTGTGGGGACATGGTGGGTGTCGGCTGGCTGGAGGATGGGGAGGAGGAGGTGGAGGAAGTGGAGGAGGAATGGCTTTGCTGTAAGAGATCTGGCAAGAGGTGAATGCGACCGGCAAAGCCATTGCTCTCATGATGGCTGGCACGCTTTTTGTCAACTGTACTCTGTAGAAAAAACAGGCACACTTGTCTTGCTCAAGTGCTGCTTAAAGGTCTATATCCCTAACAACCTCTCTCCTTCTCTCCCTCGCTCTCTTCCTACCTTTTAACATTTATTTATTTATATTTGTTTAAAAAAAAATAAGCTGATAATTCATGCCTTGATGCCTGGATGGAAAGGGACAGTGGGCAGAGCTACTATAATTCAGCAAATTCCCACCTCTTCTGTCAGTCAAAAGCTTAGTTCGTGTGGTTGACTTGCACAGCCAGTTCCGCTAATTAACAAAAGAGTAACTGCGCCGGTAAGTCTTCCACCACAACGCGGACAAGCACATTTTTGGGGGTGGGGGGGAGGATTTCTTCCCCTATTGTTTTGTTTAAAACTAACTTAAATCCTATACAGATACAAGCTTAGACTGTCTAGTGAATGCCTTCAGCTAACTATTTAAAACAATAAGCATGAAATCTTAATTTTCAAACCAGAGGGCTCAATTAAGAAATTGGCATTCAGTTGTGAAATTCAGAAATGTGATTACCGGGGAAACTCCTATAAGCTAGCATGCTCATTAACACACGAGCTCATTTAAAAGCTAGGAATCATCATCTTTCAGAGGCACAAGAATGCAGTATTTTCAGAATCAAAGGCAACAACACAGTGTGCTAGCTCTGTCCACATTCTCTGCCTCACCACCTATTTTGCTTCTCTGTTCCCCCCATACTAACTGTTACATGAATTTGGATGTACGTGTGTGTGTGTGTTATCTAGGTGGTCTGTATGCCCTCAACTACAGGTTCAAAACAATTTAAAAAAAAAAACCTCTGAATGCTCCCCGCCAGTCTCCCTCCCAGCCCCACTCCTGAGAGCCACCCTATGGTAAAACTAAACTAATTTCTTGCTCCAGGTACTTGCTCCACACACCTGCAGCTTTTCTACCCTTCTCTCCCACAGACTTTGAGGTACTCTGCACGGTGCTGCCATGGGTGTCACTGGAAAGCATGCAAAACAGTAGCAAGGGGTGAAGGACTACTCTTCGCTTTGCATGCATCAAACACCTTGCTCATCTGAAATTCACTACAGCTGTGTCTTGATAATACGAACAACAAATATAATGTAGAAACAGCATGGGTGAATGAGCGAGTGGGTTAATGAGCACAGAAAAGGTGCAGCACTGCACAGGGCAGGAAACGCAATACCTGTCGGACAATTAAGGTGCCCTCCTTAGAAGGAGTCAAGGCAGGTTCACTCTCCACATCGTCATGGACAATCATGGTTTTCACTGACTCTGTTTCACCATTGCTCAAGTTCAATGTTGACCTATTTGCCAGACAAGAAATAACTGGAGTGAGATAATAGCACTTGTGCCCTAGCTTTCGCTGCCCCACACCAAGGTACACTCAAAATTAATTTATATTGTGACCAGAGTGGAATATTTATATAACCTGCCAAGAAAACTCTAAAAAAAAAAAAAAAGTCAGGAGTTTGTTAAACACCACTTCTTGTTTTATAACAAACCAAGAGAGAAGAGGGAAAGGACATAATTTATAGAAGCCTGCTTTTTGAAAAGATTACCCTCAGTGTTTGAAAGTGTGAACATACAAGGCTAGTATGTCTTACCCATAGATTATTTGTCGTAAACTGAAAGAACTTAACAAGCCAAAATACCCAACATTCTTTTTCTTCAACCCCCTGAAAGGGAAAACAGAAGCAAAAAACTGTTAGAAGAACTAACACTGCTCGGACATCATCTGGTCCAGAAGTAGATTCATCTGCTCCCTCTTGTTCCATATCATCATCTTCCTCATCCGTCGTCCCTGACTCCTCACTTGAGGATGAATAATCTGTTACTTTATGTGGAGGTCGCACATCCTCTACCGCTCGCAATTCCTTTGCCAATGCAGTTAAATCCTGATGGGAGAGAGAGGAAAAAACTGATGTTGCAAGGAAGAGAGGAGAAGAGTTTGCAAGACAACCCCACTGGATTACTGCCCGACTTCGCTCACTTCCCACTGCTGTGTTTCAATAGCCCCAGATGTATTGTTTCCTTTGATTCGTTCATTCCTGATAGTTACCAAAAGTCACTTTCTGATAAAGCACCAAAAGAGTCAACATAAGGAGGTCTTGCCATATTATAGAAAAATGTGCATAGTCTGAATCCAAACTATCCTGATTATGACTTCAGTTTATCCTATTATACCATATGAAGGACACATACAAGCACCCGGACCCACTCTCACACAGAGGTTGACCGTCACAGTTCATTTTCCTAAACTTTGCAGGTTAATAGCATCCACCACAAGAAATCTAGGCAGCAAGGTAGCAGAAAGATCATAAGACTTATTGAGCCACCGAAGGCACAGTCGTAGAGAGCCAACCTCCTTGAAACCTTTTGCTCCATTTCCAGTTGCATGGATCCATGCTACGGAGTTCACCTGAGAGGTCAGATTCATCAGCACCAGCTCAGTTGCACACGACCGTCAAACAGTATGGGACATAAGCCGCTTTTTTGGAGTGTGGGCAAACCAGGTTTGCAGTCAGTGCAATCTGTTCTTAATTGTGTAGCTTTGCTTTATTTAGCTGAATACAGTTTGTGGCAAATATACACATACAATATATGTGTATATACAATATTGTGTATATACAATATATACACATTATACTATCAGAAGTGAAGGACCAACCTCTACGTTTCTTTAAGAAAGCAGCTTTAACTGACAGATTTGGGAGCTAGTGCAGTATCATAATGGCAAGAGAAAAAGTTTTAAGGAAAGTTGGAAATATTGTGAAAACTCACTGTGATCTCCCGCATACAACTGGACATAGAGCTGTAATCAACTCTAAACAGCAGTCAGATAAAGGAAATGTTATAAATCTTTCACAGAAAGTAGCAACAATTTAAGGTCTTACCACTTCTCCCTGCACCATTCAGCCCAACATTGGCACATTCAGGTCAAATGCATGATCATTGGTCCAGCCCCAGGAAGGAAGCACAGGATTGAAAGAGACAAAGGCAAAGGTTAGGAAGGAAGAAGACCAGAGAGCAGAAATCAATTCCAGAGCAGAGCAGATTCTAATGTTTAAAGTACTGTGACGTGTGCAGGCAATTGCAGAGCCCAGGACATGCTTCCATGCCCACAGGTACAAACGCAACTCAAGCTGAAGTTCACCCCCAATGGCATCACGAATGGAAGCTCACACCGTACTTTTTGTGGGCCTACCTGAAAGAGAAGGGGGACAGGGGAAAGCGGATGCAACTTACAGCAGGCTTGATAGGTCTGAAGACTTCCTTCTTCTCTTCAGGCTTTTTAGGTGCACTTTCATGACGCTGGGATGGAGAACCCTCTGATTTGGATGATGCTGCATGTGTCAAGACCCCAAAAGGAACACAGAACAAAACAGATTAAGCAGGGAGCTAAAATATGTTTTCTTACTTCACTCTGGAGTGGGGAAGCGAGGTGAGAAGGCTATCAGGCGGTGCCTGAGAGCAAGATATAAGTTTCACTGGTTCACTATTACATTGTCCCTGAAGAGCTATACAGAAAAACATCATAAGCCGTGATCTGTGTCTGCCGCAGCTGACCTATGACTGAAGCCAAAGTAAACTGTCACACAGTTGTAAATCAAAGAGGGTAACTCAAGCGTGGCCACAAGCTGGAAAACCTGCACCAGCATCCAACGTACCACAGCTGAGACCTATCTGTAGCCACCCCTTCAGCAGCCACCAAGGTGACAGGCAGCAAGCATCAAAAGATACCCTTGCACACAGGAGGAAGGGAGCTATAAGAGCACAGAGACAGGGCCGTTTGCACATGGGAAAATGCAGCAGTGACTGAATGGGAGTCAGAGAACACTGAAACACTTTCATGATAGCTTCTACAGCCACCGTCTTTCCCAAGCAAGGACATACAGCCAAGGGGGGTACTGGAAGCTAACCCAGCTTTGATACCGCACGCTCAAAGGTCTTTCCCAGTGATGGTTATCATCCTTCATTACTGAGTATTGCACAACTGAATAAATTTAGAAACACGACGTTACGAAGGGTGGGGGAAGGACTTACATCTCATCCGAAACCGCTCTCCAGACCCGCTCTGAGACCCAGGGTGGGAGCCAGGCTGTGAGCCTGAGTTGCTTGAACCTGAAGAACTGCCACTGCCTGGCCTTGGTACGAGCTTCTCCACCCTTTCCCACAGCAGACGAGGCTCTATATTGCTGTATCAGGGGAGGGAGGAAAGTCTTTGTCACGCACTTCAGTTTCAGATTCCCATTTCTAAACTCAAACATCACTCTTCCTCAGTGTTTTGCTAATAACTTATCTGAAAGAGCACTTAACACTCAACTGAGGGCATCAGGGGTGCTTCACAATGCAAGCAGTGCCTCCCTTTGAAATACCTATTACCTTATTTAGGATGGTTAAAAAAAAAGAAGTTTAGCTGTGTGTAAGCTATTATTTTTATTTGCAACTGGCTACCTGCCATTCTTACCTATATAACCTAAAGTACACAGTTCTCAGCCTGCAGACAGCAGGTCCGAAATTGGCTCGGAAGTGCCCTGGCCACCCAAGCACAAGCCAAAAAGCCAGCACTGCCTGTCCCTCTCAAAATACCCTTACCCCTGTCCAGTGAGCCAATGCCAGGGTGGCCTGTCCACAGTGCCTGTCCACTCCTCTCCCCCTTCCTGACTTCAGATGCTCTGTGTCACAGTTCATGGATACTTCTCCCTCTCTTAAATTCTGGTTCTGGCCAAGAGGCCAGAAGGTTTCTGAGAGCAATTTGATTCAGATGTTACAAACACTTCTGCTGCCAGTAATCCCCACAAGTACGCCCAAGATGACCTGTTGCACCAAAAGGCAAGATGTTCATGAATGGCCGTGTTTTTCCAGTAATCTTCACAATATTTGGAAATTATTGCAAAAGTTACAGGGCAGGCAACTCAAAGGAGAAGAGGGAAGAAGAGATTTTGTTTGTTGGCACACGTGATACACCATGGGAAATTAACATTAATCATTACTGAAAAGGGATCCAAATTCATCTTCCTTTCATATCCAACAGACAATGCCAAAAGCTCTCTGAAAATGCCTGGCTTTCCCTGAGCGGTTTTCTTCCAATGCAGGAAAGGCAAGGACATGTAGGCTTACAAACCTCGTGGAGTTTCTTTGACCTGCTTGGTTATTTTGCTGCCCACTGCCCTGCAGTGGAGAATCACGGCGGGACAGGACTGGTGATCGGGACGTTGTTCTCACAGGTACCTTGGGAGAAGAAAGGTTGTGTTAAAGCCATGAAGAGGAGAGAGAAGAGGAAGATTAAACCTCTTCTGCTACAGAATATATTCTTAAGATTTTAACAACACTTATTCTTAGTCCAACAACCAAAAGCAATAAACAAACACCCACAAAACCAAGAGCCTTAGTTGGGATGCTGTTCAGATTTGGAAGAGAACTCAAAGTTTAGTCTTAACATTAAGTAGTGTTTAATAGTTACCACACGAACACATACACACCCCACTACCTTCCAACTACTGAGACATTTAAAAAGAATATGGCATTTTGACTGAAGCAGGGGAGGCACAAAGCAATTTGCTGAAACAGCATGAGAATTAGGAGAATAAGCTCAGGGGAACCAAACAAATGCCCGGGAATGGATCAGCAGAAGGCAAAGACTGGTGGGGGAGCAAGAATATACTCAGAAGAAGCAAATCCCAGTGGATGGGAGGGGGGTGGAAGGAGGAGAGGAGGAGGAAATATATTGAATGTTTCCTTTTTGTTCAGTTCCATCTCAATTTTAAATATGGGTATGATTCATAGTTTGGGTTGATAACAGATGAAGAGGAAAATCAACTCTGAGCAATAACCTCAGGGATATTTTAAATTCTTTCCTGAATATGGTAATGATTTGTTAACTTTGCATAATAAATTGTGTCTCTGAAATAGCTACATTCTATAAATAATTGCCAATTTTATATGAAGCTTCAATATTGTACTTAAGGTTGATTACCATTAACCCATTGACTGAACACCTACATTATGATCTGCCTTCCAAAATGTTACCAGTGCTGGCACAAGGGCACGGTCTTCCCAGTGCCTAGAGTATCACATCCTTAAAAAAATAATAATTATTAATAAAAATAAATAGCACACATCTGTCTTTCTACTCCTTACCCTTGGAGGCACCTCGTCACTGTCTGATCTAGCCCAAGCCTTTTGGGTGGGGTCGGGTACCTCCGACTTAGAGTCAGAACTCTGATTTAGCACTTCACTGCGTGAAGGTGGATATGGGTCCTGGGAACGAAGATGGTGATGAGCAAATTTGGGAGAAGGGTCACTGAAGGAATGGGATCGCGAGACAGGGGAAACATTGTTCTTGAGAGATGCCAGATGGGACCACTGTACCTTACAAGAAAACAAAACATAAAACATTCAATGCGCTCAGTATAACTGGCTTTCCAATTAACACAGAATAAAGGCAGGTGGGGCGGGCAGAGACAAATTGGTTATGGCATTAGGTAAGCGTGGGGTGGAATCAATGCACTTAAAAGCAAGGCAAGCGCCCAAAGAACGTAACAGACTGAAAATACAGCACATACGCATTTTTTTGTGAGATACTCTCTCCACATACACATACACTGGTGCCCAAAAGCAAAGGCAACCTAATATCTGCACCGTGAGCCCGAGTCCAAAGGTCACTCAAGACAGAAGTTGCCTGCTGTTCCCCGGTCTTCAGTGGGCTTTGGTCAGGTCTCACGGCAGCACTAGTGGGTTGGGAAATTTGAAGTGGATATTCAATTGAAGAAATGTACAAAATTAAAAACTGCTGTAAAGTGTGCAAACCGACAGACATTTACGTTACCTAATAAATTTAGGAACTAGATACAGTTCCAAACTTTTGGAGAAAGACCATAACACAAAAGCCTTTATTCCTTTACAGTCATTGCAATATATATAAAAAACCCATAATATATATTGTATATAGTATACATATGTACAATGCATATTATACTTACACCATATATGTACCATGTACTGTACATATATACATATTTATACACAAAGTAAGCACACACATACATGCACACATATTCAATTACACATACTAAGAAAGCACAACAGTGACTCCAGAGTTAGAACTCCGTTGGAATTTCCATTGAAATCCATATTGACCCTTCAACCTACTCCATCCTTGTGCATAAACCGGCATTTCAGAGTTAATTTCTGAAACTGAGGAGGAGAAAGGTCATAACTGAGGAACACACTGTTTTCACACCTAATAAATAAGCAAAACTTTGCTTTCAACCCCAGTTTCAGTAGGCTGGTTGTATTTGGTTTTATATGATTATTATTTCCTCAATTTTCATACACACAGCTGTTGAAGAGCCTGATTATCCTTAATATGAGTGGAAGACACAGACTTTAAAAGTAACTGGCACAGAGAGCATGAAGATACAAGTCCAATATTTTGAAATAGTCACAGAGGTTTGAATAAAAGCCAGGAATTAATGAGTAAGAGATGAAGTTCTGTCCTGATTTCTCCCACTCTCCCGTCTGCTCAAATTCTCCTGTTGCCCAAAAGACTTGCAATACCTAGTCACAATCAGGGATGTTTTTAGCTTGCACTGTCATCAACAGACTTAATTTGGAAGAAAATTCTGCACGGAAATGGAGGAACCGAATGCAGAAATACACTGTTTAATTTAGCATATCTAAATCACTTGGAATTTATGGGCTCTCTCTAAGTTTCAGGTAAAGGTTGCTTTTTAAATTCATGCTGTAATTCCTATGAGATACAGATACCAAGATCAGGAGGGCCTTCATAAGAAAACAACAGAATGATGGCAGCCACGCAGCTCAGTGGTTTCAACCTCTTTTTGATTTTCCAGGAGTGGTACAGAGCAATATTTAGCAACTGCAAGCCTACTGACAACAAACTTGCTTTTCTTAGTCATGTTTTGTACATCTTTGAAGCAGTGCTTATACTATTAAAAACCACTTGTTTAGTTAGCTTTCTCCGCAAGAATTAAAAAAACTAAGCCAGCTCACTTCTTTCCTGAGCATACTCTTTGGTAGTAAATATCTTGCACAGATCAAATTCTGAATTGTAAAAGTGTACTGCAACTGCCACCACTGTTTAGCCCACCATTCCTCTATGGCACAGATAATAACAGAATGCAATAGCTCTAATCTAGTTCTAACATTAAAAAAAACCCCCACACCAAAACCACAAACCAATCAGTTTATCAACAAAATAAGCAAAAAACAGGCAAAAAGCAAATCTACTGAATAAACTTCTTTGTGTAACAGTGCTGCCCTTTACATAAGACTTTCTATATGCCAAGATCTGCAAAACTGAATGGAACATGTCGGGACTTCTGCATTTCCTCCAGGCTCACTGAGATTTTCCTGGGCACTTACCTGGGGCTCCATTGGCCTCTGCAGGGCAGGCTGAGCAGGTTCTGAGTTTCCATTGGAAAAGGACTCTGATCTGGAAGGCACTGGTGGCTCCAACACTTTGCCCATCTGCTTAGACTGTGCTTCAGGGGAGCCTTGATTAGTTTTTCTAAATCTCTCCTCCACCTAAGCCAAAATAAATGAAGGTTAAGCCTGGAGTCAATAAAGCCAATTACAGTAGAAATATGAAGGTGACTACCACCTTTCCTTTACCATAAAGAATCCAAATACATTTGGGGCTTGGCATGATTTTTTCCCTACTGCTTTCACCAGCAATGCAAAACACAGGGTGAACTGCACCAAAGTGGCAAGTAAGCTAATATGGAAAATCCATACTTGGAAAGAGGTTACAGCAGGCAGGAAGATGTGAAGTGATATGATGAAAGACCATTATGAGGCTTCTTTCTGCCTAGACTACTTACAGAATTTTCCTCAGTATTTTTCTCACAGACAATACAAAGGATATATGAGAACGGAAACAACTTTAGAATATAAATGTACATTTACCATTGCCATCCCCTACTGCAGTTACCCATCTTACTCAATCAATGTTATTTGATCATCTGCTCTCCTGTGCTCTCTTTGGCAGTGCAAGAAGAGACAGGATATGTTTCTCTATCTGGTAATACTGGAGGCTGTTCAGCTTTAGGTACAAAACTGTAGGACTGGTCATCCTTGCTCTTATCAGGCTGCAGAGAACTGCCCCAGCAGCTGGTTTCTGGTTCTCGGGAACATGTAGAAGTGATCGTACACTAACCTAGAGAGCTTTTCAAGGGGAAGACTAAATCAGAAAGTGCTCAGTCCTCAAAAGAGCATCAAGTGAGGTCCCAAGCAGAAATGTTGCCTCTTCCAAGGCCACGGCATTGCGAACAAAGCAAGTGGTACGAAGGGGAAGAGATGGAGGGAGACTCCAGGCAGAAAGGAAATACCCTCTCATTTCCTAAGATGGTCTGTAGCTGGAATCAGAGCAGTGTGTGTGTTTCTGCCGCTGAGGAACCCTGAACTCCCAGTACTTTATCAAAGCATCAAAGAAAGATCAAACTGGCAGCTTGGGCTGATTTCATTTGTTGAGATGCTGCTCACAAGATTTGCTTTAACCCTTGCCTGGAGCATAAAACCAGTATTGGGGTGATTTCCTAATTGTTCCCTAGCAGTGATGGTCTGGAGAGGCTGGCTGTTCATATACCCATGTCAGAAGACAGAGGCAAGTTTCCAGGACTCCTTAGATAGGATGCTTTACAAACCCAACCTGCCTCTGCTTTCCAGAATTTGAAGACAGTAATAGTTTGCCTGTGGGAACGAGCAGACAAGCTTCTGCCAGGTCTACACAAAATACACCATGTCTAGGGAAATACAACCATAATGGAGGCGAGCATCTTCACCATACAATCATTTTCACCACTGTGTTCAACTTCACAGAGCCATCCTTTAAAGTTTAAAAAACAGGCCAGACTCCTTGTTATGAATAGAACAAGGAAAAGCCCCAAGTCTTTCTGTCTGAAGGAAAAGGCTTTCATGTCTCTAGTTGTAGATGATAGGCGGTTTCCTCCACAAAGCACAAAAACTGCACGAGCCACAAGTCCTTAAAAGCAGGCAAGAGGTGGGAAGGAGACAACCAGTTTATCCCTGGACAGAAACAGGCCTTGTTCCAGTCATCTGAACGTCTGGACCAGAAAACGTTTTAAGCCTCATTTCTTACTTTAATCTCCCTCTCTGTTTCCCAGAGCCAGTCTTAGAAGTCCTTTTCCTTACGTCCCCATTGCCATTAGAATGGCAACCCCCCCCCCCCCCCCC